CAATGGATTTTCTGAAAAACCTCTTTCGTTTATTCAAACCTCCCTTGAAAATCGGTATCAAAAAGTTCGTCTAAATCAACAGTACTCTACGGAACAAAAAATTTGTTCTGGTGTACCACAGGGATCAGTCTAGGACCGCTATTATTTTCATTATATATCCCAGATTTAGAAACAGAGCTAAAATCATGCAGCATACAATTTTTTGCAGATGATACTAAAATTTTCCATTCATTTAGGAGCAATGACTTGGAAACGGCAAATAATAAAATTAATCAAGATCTTGCCCAAATTGAAAAGTTCAGTAGTAGTCATAATCTTCGTTTGAACCCTTTGAAGACAAATATGTTAGTATACGCAAATAGAACAAAAACGAATACCTTAAAAAAGGACATAGACATACATTTAAAAGGTAATAAATGATTCCTGTGGATCATTCGAAAAACCTAGGTATTATAATGGATGATGATTTAAAATTTGTTGCAACACGTTGAACTATCTAATTACTCAGTGCTACGCTATCTCAGAGTTTTATTTGCAAATAAATAATACATAAATCTGCGAGAAAGCAATTGTGTGAATATTTCGTATTTTCAAAGATATCGTATTGCTTAGTAGTTTACTATCCCTATTTAGATATTACAACAAGAAATCGTATTCAAAGTATTATGAATACATGTTGCAGGCTTGTAAATGATCTCAGAAAATATGATCATATATCGAATGCCATTAATGAACTCAAATGGCTGAAAATTGATAAAATGTATAAGTACCAGCTCCTAAATCTGACTCATAAGGTTCTTTATTCAAAAACACCGTCATATTTAGTGAACAAATTCATACGTAGAGGGAATATGCATCGTATTAATATTAGATATAGAGAGACTTTTTCAATTCCACGCCACAGCACGTCTCTATTTCAGAATTCATACATTTACAATGCGATCAAATCATATAATTCTTTAGACCGCAGTTTAAAAGAAACCAATCCATTATCCAAATTCAAGAAAAAAGTGAAAGAAGTTCTTCTTGATCAGCAGCGAAATCGGTTGCAACCCATAAGTGTCCTCATATTTTCCTTATGTATTTACTTGGATTATTCGTTATTGTATACAGGTGCCTATTAATTTTCAACAAATTTTTTTTTAAATCTCCTATTGTTAAGGGGGTTAGATGTAGAATAGATATATAATCTAAATCTCGCCTCCTGTAAGAATATTACAAATAAAAGACGTTAATTATTATTATTATTATTATTATTTCCCGAAGAAAATGTTTTGAACCGTGTGCTGTTCGATCACTAACGGCATCATCTCCTAATACAGTATATATTTTTTCGCGCTGCCGCTGCAGCTTTTGTACCAAGTTTGAACTCATACAGTAAACAACTTCGAATTACTGTTTTATTCGTCGCCATTTTCAATTATTAAAACTAGGTACGTAACAATTTTCAGCAACTTTTTATATGTGTGTGAGAAAAAAATGCATACTAAAGTGACAACAGGTAATAAAGAATCGCTGTCGATCAACAACATCCATGGGAATGTGCGATATACAGCAACCGCACGAACTTATTTGGTTAAGTTGGGTATGCTAATGCTGCTTCACACCATGCCAAATCATCACCAATATTCATATTACAAACATACCATAAGTCACTGTAACTCCAATATAACTCAATTGTCTGGCCCAGTCATGCCACATATTATGTTAAAACTTCTATTTATTGTACGACGTTTCGATCGCCACTGTGACATTTTCAAGTACAACTGACAATTTCTATGGCAGCTAAACAAAATATATTGTCACAGAAATAGTAATTGGAGTCACATACCATGAATCTTTCATTATGCCCCTCTTAACTTTGTTTTAAAAGCTTTGAATAATTTCGATGCTGACAACCACAGATCCACAGGTATCAAGATCTGTTCATACAGTAGAACATTGTTATTGTTGTCTTTAAGCTCCTCCAGTGTTCGTCGATTATTGGTATACACTTTTGACTTTAGATAACCTCACAAAAATAATCGCACGGAACCTCTTAATCCACTTTCTCATTAGGTTATTACTTGGGGCACCTCTTGATCGGCGAACGTTGTATCGTATACCAAATTTCCGAAGGGTAGCTGAGATCAAGCACTGCCTATACCCAAATCTAGTATATCCTGCATAGCTAAAAACAATTTTTGGTTATAACCCTTAGCTCTGGCTACAACTTTTATATTTAACTTTTTTCTGTAACTCATTAGTAATGAAGATATTGAGCTTGACAACATGTATCTTAACGTCTAGAGTCTATGAAACCAAAAGCCCTTACCACAGCTTTTTCACAGTATCTTCAATACCAAAAGCTCGGTTACGTTCAATCAATTGTCAACTAGCTTATGAATATTAAATGCCTCGAGAAAAGACCTTATATTTTATATCAATTATCAAGCTGGTCTTTTCTCATTATAATTCGTACGCGATATTGTCACGACGGAGTGGCGCGATGCTTCGAAACCCGCTCAATATGACAAGGAGATGAGATGCTATCTCTTTGTGTGCACGCTTGCAAGTATTTTGCTCTGACGATGTCGGCCAGATGCATTGTTCGGCCTGCTGGCTGCTGTATAAGGCCCCAATTATCTTCAGTAGACTTTGCTCGCCTTGTTGCACCTCATTGTCAAGGTGAAACACGAATTAAAAAAATAATGGCGAATCATTCGGGTACTAAGAGTTCCGATCGTAACCTCACTTTGCTCTCGGAATGTCCGGGTGGAAGGTGGACTCGAATTAATAGCATTGATGCTATTCACCACTAGCATCAGTCAGATTGCTCCACTATGGTCTTCTTGGTGGAGATCAAAATATCCGATTCTTCCCCGTCGAGGTTCACTCCAATTTACAAAAACTCTGGAGTTGTGGCTTTGCCGTGCTCCAGAGACATCTCTTTGGAATCAGGCCTGTAGGGCATTCAGTGGCTTCGGCTAAAAACTAAACCATCTCCCAAATTTTATAAACTTAGGCAGTTCGTGGTGGGATGCATGTCGAACGACTCAGTGATTTTAGTTCCTATGGCATTTTTTGGCAATCTCACACTTCGGGCCGGAAAGGCTCTAAGAATTGAAAGAATTGTTTAAGCTTTACTGCCTGAGAGTGGCTATAAAGACACTACCTTGGCTAAAAAATACCTACATATTCACATTTTAAAACTTACTGATTGGTATTAAATTAAATTGATCTAGGTTAATTTAATTCAATAATTGTTAGTGACTGCTTTGGAACTTTTCTGCAGAAAAAAATGTGCAAAAGGAGATTTACTATTAGACAATGGCATTTGAAATTATTTTTGTCTTGTCTTTACAGCAGCTTCCGCAAAGAAATTGATGAATATTGTGATTGAAAATTTGGTCACAAGTGATAGGCGTTTACGCGTATACATGAATTGTCTACTTCTCGATGCATACAATGCGTATACAATGTATACGTACATTGCGTATATAATGAATACAATGGATACAATGTCGAAGACAATGTATAAAATAGCATAAGTGAGGTTAGATTTATTCGTCAACGTCAGATAGTTGCTGAACAGTGAACCGGTAACTTAAAATAGTATGGTTGGACGCCCCAATAACACGGAAATCGATGAAATAGGGTTCATTTTGTTTAAAAACGGAAATACGTATTCCGTGTCTGCAAAATAATCTTGTCCGATTCCGCTATATCTCGAGTGAGATGATAAAAGTATTTTGTTTGATTTACTTGAGAAATGTTCCTAATTTATATCGAACTGTATCTTTGTATACGTATATAAATAAATATTATATATTTATACCATTTCTCATTATTTATAAACTCCTTTCACAGTCAAACCAATAACGAAATTTGTAGAGATCCTGAACGTCCAGCTCCACCTAAAATCTGAGAACCATAAGGATCGATCCGGAATTGATCTTAAACAGATTCGACAGAAAATGTGTATTTGGGCGTAAAAAACAAGGCATAGCAGCAAGGTACAGTCGGGTTCTGTGGCCTCCATCACTGGTGTGTCAGACAACACGGTGTGTGGCGCACTCTTTCTACACAAGTGGTGCCCACTTCTCCCCTCTTTCTCTTCCTCGTACACATGGACATCGAAAAGGGCAAGGTACTTGCATGTATGCAACTAGTTGAACTATGATTTGCTACTGTATACATTGTATACGTGAATATCGAGACGTATATACTCACCATTGTATATGCGTATATATAATATACATGTTTTTCCCCCGAAGGGTAAAAAACATTTATTTTGGGTCTTGCCTTTGCTTGACCCTTATGAGACTACTACCCTTGTTTACCAGCCCCTGTCAGGTGCTCCGTCCTTCTCTAGCGGTCGCGAATCAATCTCCCCTCTCTGTCCCGCTCAGAGCCTGGTCGCGACCGCCCGTCAGCGCCGGCAAGCCCGCTTGCGTTTCAGTACGTGTCTTTTTTAAGCCGGCTAGGTATAAAAATTTTAGGGTCAAGCATCGGCAAGACCCAAAATAAATGTTTTTTACCCTTCGGGGGAAAAACATGTATATTTTAGGTCTGTGCCTTTGCTTGACCCTTATGAGACGTGTTTGTAGTCTGCCGGCGCTAAGAGCGTACTGTGATAGGAGGAAAAAACCCCAAGTCGGTAGAACATAAAGGTTTATATTGTAGCAACGAACATAAATGGTGACATTCTTATTGAAAAAAAACAACAAACAAAAACAAAAATGATGGCTAAACAACATCAAAATGTTCCGAGGGAGTATTTCCCTTACGATCGGTAGATCCTCCTGGCTCGACTAGCTTACAATAGTACTTGAAAAAGTTTTTATCACTCTGCCAGTTTCCCTTCTTCAGAATCTCGTCCAATGGCATATTCACACTAAAGCGAACTGACCCAAACCGCTGAACGAATGCTACCTGGTCCTGTATCAATACCAATCTGCTTTAGGGCGGTTTTAACCCATCCTGCAATCACAGCTTTTGAAGCTGGCCGCACCTTTCCCCTAGATGATATGAACAGGACTATCCAAATCCGGCGCGCCATGTCGCCTTTCCTCGGAAAGAGATATCAAAATTCGTATCCACTTGATTATATCCACCGATTTATCATCATTCTCTGAGATCTTCCATCCCGATTGCCTGTACGAAGACCTGTCCGTCTTAGAACCGAACTTAGGCCAGAAAACCATCCATGAGCCAAAATCCTGGAAATAGGAGCCACTAATGGCTAGCAGGGTTAAATCGTGGATACGTCTGCCTGATGCAAGAAGAAGTAAAATGGCGAGATGCCGTGAAACCTGGAACATACTGTCCAGATCGGGGGGATTGGATTTTAACCAGGCTATTAAATCATTAATGTTCCAAATACTGATTCTGCGATTAGTCACGTTAGAAAGGCTGATAGCCTTGAGCATATATTTCACCACAGGGTGCCTATTTATAGCCTCAGCGTGGGATGGATCGGCGAATGTGGTCACTATCGATTTATTTAAGAGGATAGTATTATATGAGAGTTGCTTAGCCTTGTGTAAAAACTAAGAAACAATGCGACCTCTTTGGGTTAGGGTTATTGACTTGAACCTTCTGACTCCTAGCCCACTCCAGCCATCGTTTCCAGCCTGCCGAGTATGTCTTGAGGGTACCAGGTCTCCAGGCTTTCAATAGAAGCGCTATATCATCTGCGCTCCATCCCTCGGTGTAATGTAGCCACCCCGCACCTTCCAAGCCTCCAAATGTAGCTTGCTGGACTTCTGGTGGAACTTGATTGGTCGCCATGTCTATCAGGTGAAGATGGGTGTCTTGAATCGGCAGTGATGGCTCCAGCGCTCTCTTGCGTAAGTCGGGCAGCCAAAATGCCTGCTCCCATCGTGGGGCGATCACAATATAAGTCCCCTCCGCTGAATTGAGGTGATGGAGCATCCTTGGAATTAATGATGGAGGGGGAAATACCCAAGCAATTCCGAAGCTCCATGGGCGACTGAACGCATCTATGAAAAGGGCGTCCGTGTCCTCCGGAAACTGGCTCACATAGGCAGCTACGACTCTCGACCTCCTGGTTGCAAACAGATCGATTGTTGGTTGGCCCCATTTGAGAAAAATTGGACGAATGGCAGTCTCTGACAGGTGCCAGTCTGGCACCGCCTTCTGCCGAGACAGGTGATCGGCAATACTGTTGTAAACCCCGGGATGTACCTTACTGATATCTGGATCTGGTAGCTCCTTGCAAACAACAGTAGCTGTTCCGTCATTCTGAGAAGGGTTCTGGATTTGGTGCCTCCCTCGTTTCTTATATAAGCAACAACCGTCTGGCTGTCGGACTGTATCAATACGGTTTTGTGCCTCAGAATCGCCCTGTACCTCCTCAATGCACGGAAAACGGCAAACAACTCCTTTTTGTTTATGTGCCATAACGTTTGTTTGGCCGTCCAAGTACCCTTGATTATTTTGTCTAGCAGATGAGCACCCCAACCAACGTCCGACGCATCGGTCGACAGGAATACTGTTATCGGAGGTGTGAAAAGTTCTGACGTCTGTTCCAAATTCTCTAGCCACCAATGAAGCTGCTGAATCACCTCTTGCGGGATACGATATGATGTCTTTGGTTCGAATTCTGGGAGTCTTTTGCTGGCTATCTGGATGCGCCGACAATGCAACCGTCCCAGAGGTATTGCAAATCCTACGAAGTTTAATTTTCCAAGAATCGACTTCGCCTGTCTCCAATTCCAGAGCCCTGAGTCGATTCGCTTCCGGATTTCTTTTCTGATTCGGTCGACTTTTCTCTGCGGGACGAATTTGCGGTTCCTCCCCGTGTCCCAGCCTAGCCCAAGAAACTCTATCACTCGAGTGGGCTCTAAGATTGACTTTGAATAGTTGATCTTCCATCCTAGGTTTCTTAGGAAGGCCACGGCTAGGTGCATGTCGTGTCTCACCTCTTCCACGGTTTGACCGGCTATCAAAAAATCGTCCAAATAAACGATGATTCTTACATTCTTTTCCTTAGCTGGCTTGCTATCCAATTTGACACTCTTGCAAATGTAAGAGGCGCGGTTGCTAGTCCGAAGGGCAAGCACGTCATGGTATATACCTTCCCCTGAAATGATAGGGCTAGATACCGTTGGTGACTCTTCTTGACAGGTATATGAAAATATGCCTGCGATAGGTCGAGCTTGACCATGTAGTCGTATCTTTGTAAAACTCTGGAACCCGGTGATGGCTTATTAAATGAAATCTTTTTGGGCTCAGGAGGCGTTAATCTTCTGAGGTCGAAAATGGGGCGATTGGAGCCGTCTGCTTTTGGGACCAAGAACATTCTTGAAAGAACCCGGATTTCACTGAGCTCGGGACCTCCTGTAGAACTCCGGTTGCCAACATATTCGAAATTTCTCGATACATCTTCGCATCGACTGAGGTTTGCAGTCTTTGGATACTGGCTGTGGAAAATGGGATTGAGGGAGGTTTCTTGCAAAACGGAATTGCGTACCCTGTTATCATTTTTATTAACGATTTTGGTGCTCCTGCCATGATCCAGTTTTGGGCGAAATCCCTCAGTTGACCTGCTTTCCAATCTCCCCGACACCTTGCAACTTTCAATGTGTCAAAAGCGCCGCGTCGGTTTACCATGGCTCTTCGAAGTTCTGTCCTGCTTGGCCCGAAAAGTGGATGTCTTCCGTGAAGATCGGTTTTCCTGTCTCAAGTTTTGGCTTTTTGGGATCTCCTCTCGGGCTTACGGGCCTGTTTCGCGAAGGAATTTTCCTCTCTTAAATGTCGGCCTCAGGCTTCCTGCTTGTGACTTTAAACAGATCCTCAATTTTATTCTCGTCAAAGAGATGAGATTCGGAAGGAGGAATCTTCGATAATACCATAGCAACGTTTTGTGTTCAGTGGAGCTAGTTGGCTCCGTCTCAACCTATCGCTTCCGCTCGCTTGCCACATATGAACTGCAAAAGATTATCCGAATGTTGGCGAAAGAGGCATCCCGGCCCAATAAGCTCCGACTCTATCAGTCCGCTGACGATGGGCAGGCGTCAATAATCATATTGATGCCTTTTGGAATGCCGCTCGCCTGGTAATGTAAAACCGTGACACACGGTCCCATAGGACCCCTCCGTTTTTCTAAAAAGTTCAGACGCAAAGCTGTCCTTGGCTAAGTGTCGCAGCTGCGTGTTCAAGCACAGCGCACCAAATACAGGAGATGCATTGTAAGCGCTTTTGCACATCCGCATACCTAATGCGATTCCATGACGACTCCTCCCAATCGCTGGCAACTCAGGCCTTGAATCCGTAGTCTGGAGCGGGTTGAGGGACAGTCGGCTCCTGCTCCTTTGCCTGAGGCGTAAAGTCTACTACCGTCCGTTTGCTAACTGTAGAACAACCTCTGGGGCTCTCCACGGAGTTGACCCCGCATCCGATTCTCTCTCACTCTCCACTTCCTCCATGAATTCTTCTGCCTGGTCTTCCTCCAAGTCAGAGTCCCCAGTGTCGTTCCCTTTTCGATCCAGGCGGCTCAAGATTTCTTGCAGCAATGATCTAGTCGCGGCAGACTCTGCTTCAAGGCACTTTAACCTGCTGGTAGTACTAACGCGTTGCTTCGAGGTCGACTGGGAACAGCTTTCAGACTCATCCGTCTCAGAGCCATCTCCAAGAAGTTTCGACGCCTCTTTCCTAGTCATCAACAGCCCCCTCAAGTTCTTCACCGACTGAGTAACCAGCTCACAGTGCAAAGCAGAACCTCTCACTTGCAGAGCCAGAGATGGAGGTCCTAAGATGAGGCCCACACAGAACGGCCATGACATCATTTTCACTTTCATGTCCCTGTAAGGTCTCTCCTTGAGGCATTTTGCATCTGGGTTGAAGGCTTTTGCAATTTCCAGCGCAGATAAGCAGAAACGCATTTTGTTAAGAACCGAAGGCTCCATATGAACTACATGATCCTTCCGGACTCTCCAATCCTTCCAGCCCTCCGGCAGGAAACCAGCTGCAGCAATCTTTAGTCTTGCTAGGACTTCGTCTTCGGACGGTTCATCATACAGCTCCCCCAATGAAGCAAAAGAATATGAGGCAGCCATCTGCAATGAAAAGGCCCAGTGAACATCTTAATACAGATATACAAAAGCAGAGATAAATAGCTAGTGGCTGATTTATCAAGCCTCGCTTGGTGTGCCGTAAGGCTCAAATGTGAACCGTAAGGCTCAAGTGTGAACCGTAAGGCTCAAATGGCGAGCCGTCAGGCTCAAAGGGCGAGCCGTAAGGCTCAAAGGGCGAGCCGTAAGGCTCAAATGGCGAGCCGTCAGGCTCAAAGGGCGAGCCGTAAGGCTCGGGTGCGAGCCGTAAGGCTCAATTACCTATCCGTAAGGCTCAAGTTCCGAACCGCGAAGGTTCAACTTCTGAGCCTTGGAGGCCCATTCACTGAGCCGTGAACGTTCAAATTCTGGGCCGTACGCCAAGAAATACTTAGAGCATGACTGGTAAAGACTGATGAGACGTAAGAGTGCTCGATCAGATAAGTTATATACCAGTAAATACGTGATTGAGACGCAGGGTGCTCGAATCACTTGCATGCAATAAAGGGAATGTCAACATACTAAAATTAGAGAAAATCACTCTTTGAAAAATCTACATACCTCGCTATCACTATCCATTGCACAATTAACATGCACTGTATATCCAGTTTTGTACGAATACGTATACAAACTTTACCGAACGCACCTGACGCGATGGTAAACAACAGCGT